GCTCACCCGCTTGAAGGCCCGGGAAAGCCAACGTAATAGCATTGCTCTCTATACTACTTTGATCGATAAGAAAATATCGGGGTTTCTAGTTACACCCTAACCTTTTTATTATTTTTAATACTTCTGCGACAGTGCTGCTATCTTCTTTGCTTACAAAAAAGTGTGCACTGATGTTCCAGCAACCATGACCATCGCGGATGTATAATGAAAACAGACACCAATCATGCCTGTTCGTTTTATGCGTGGAATCAAAAAGAGTCAGCCATCCAAAACGTTGAAGTTTCTCCAATTGATTTTTATAGGCAAAAACGAAACCCTGAGTATGCTGGTGACGAACTTCATAGTACTCAACTTGGTACTCCCGATTCTTTAAAAAAAAAACTGACTCCCGAACATCCACCATTAATTGCGAATTACCGATAAGGGGGGCATTCTGAGACCCTCGAACTTTGTATTTTATATTGGCAACCTCCTTACATCTTAACTCCTTTACGCTTTCACCAAGCCTTAAATTCACCGTGGCATATTCTTTAATAGCACTAGTTACCGCAGGGGACAGATAGTTCTTCATGGCTTCCCGCTCAACTAGAACTCGAACAGCTTTTGAACGTTTAAGTTTTCACTATCCTTCAAAGTATGAGCATGATCAGGAGAGTTTGAATACCGTTCAACCTGTACTACTTGATCTGTTACCAAGTGAAATACTTTAATTTTTGCGGAACATTGATCAGCGGGACGAACTTTGGTTTTTCGGCGCTTTTCACTTGGTATCCCCTCATTCCGAGTACTTGATTTATTGTGCTTGGTGAACCGGCAAGTGTACACCTTCCACGAGTTTCCATTATTATGGATTTTATAATTAAATTGAGTCCAAACATTGGACACAAGGGGCCACCACTCGTCATCAAATTCTCTTAATAGAATTGTAACAGGTTGATTAATATTAAAGAGAATATTACGTTTCTCATCAGGGGTTAAATTCGTTAAGTTCATATGTTTATAAAATATTGTTGAAAAAAAATATATATATAAAATATATATATGTGAAAAAAAAAAAAAGTTTATAATAAAGTATTAACCCGATACTAGAAAATGAACTAAAAAATGAAAAATAATAAAGCTCTGGCTTATACTGTATATAAAACGACAGTAAAAAAAAAACGTATATATATACATACGGAGTAGTATAAGTAACGGTACATGCTATTCCGTTTAAAAAAAAACTGCGAAAGTAACAAAAAAGAAAAAAAAAACTGCTGAAAGCAGAAAAAAACTGCAAAGGCAGGAAAAAAAAAAAAAAACTGCGAAAAAAAAACAAATAATCGATTTTTTCTTTTTTTCTATTTATACTTATTAATCAATTACCGAATCAATTAATAATTCAATAATCACATTGTGATTATTGATATGCATGATCGATCACGTGGGTACAAGGCTTTAGCGATCCCCTACCTGTAGCATATGACTCATTAACCCGTGCTATGCTCTGTTACACAGAAGTTCATGTATTGTCTCATGATTATCAGCTAATCATATCACGGATTTTGGCTATGTCTATTGAGTCTTGACTAGTTTTTTTTTTTCTTGTCGATCTGGTTGCTTTGTCCATATTTTTTTTACTTATATATATTTTCTCTAGGTAAATTGGAACATAATGTTGGTGGATTCAAATGACATTATTAAATTACAGTACGAAAGCTTCAGGTTTGATTAGTAGACTTATTCACATTTAATCAATTTTATAACTTGTTTCTATTTTGATACGGTTTCTCCTGTTGATTTCGTTAGACAGAATGGAAGTACTATATTAACACACCATCTCAATGAAGTCACTTAGGACTTTTAATACCACATGTTTTAGAATCCGAAACTACAATTATGTCAAGAATTGTCCCTACTAATTTCTTCTCACAGCATTTTAGTTTTCCGACCCATGGCTATTACGTCTGGCAACAGCCGGTGGTAGACCAATGGACGTGCAAAGTAGAGATAATCACACTAGTAACAAGGCAGTATGGCCTCTCTTTGCAACCCTATCAAACTGTGTCTGGCAACCAGCCGACAGTTTTGGTAGAAGTGCAAACAGAACGTGCTCATGCCTGGCAACCAGCCGGTGATCGTTCTGCTTGTAAAGGTAACCGTTAATAACTGTGCCTGGCAACCAGCCGGCAGTTTTGATGGGTTTATAATATAATTTCTAACTTATCAGCTTAGATCAATTATCATACTGATTTTCGGTCGCATATTTTGTAGGGAATAGATCGAAAAAAGCATAATAATTTATTCTGGATTATTTATATGTGATTACTTTGAGATGAGATTTGAAAAGACTGAAATATTTTAACTATAGTGGGGAATGGAGGATACTAGAGTTCTGCCATAAATCCCATTATTCATTAGTTAGAGTTCTTATAAAAAGATCTCATAATTAGTTGTATGATATATGTATCAAAACTTTAATAATGTATACTATTAATAAATATAATAAATTTTTGCTATTTTTAATGCAATATTTTTATATTATGATATAATCGGAAATTTAAATCAACTTCAAATATTAGATATTTTGAAACGAATTGGCTGAATTCTAAGAAAGAGCAACAATGGATATCAAAAAATTATAACTGGTTTTCAGTAGACTCCCATAAATGCTAAAACAAAAATTCGAATAGATAACGATAAGAACGTGTTAAACAATCTTTACAGCAGTGTTTGTGGTACTGTAATGGAATTCTGGCATATATAAAACCTGTTTATTCAAGCACTCGTCAATCGCCATTAAATCTTTCAAATGCTAATATTGAAAATGTATATCATTTAGTACACGTATTATTGATGTTGGGATTGTATGCAACATGCGTAAACTTTTATTGGATAAAGAAAGCACAGATGAATCTGATTCTGATAAACCGAAATTAACAGTTACAACTTCACCCAGTTCACCATCTTCCAAGCCAAAAAGTAAAAAGTCAAACATTCAAAACCAAATAATTCATATATTATTGTATATCTTACTTTTTATTTTATATTTTAGTTTTATTTTTTTCTGTATCAATAAAGCTGACCCTGGTGGCTCGATTTTTGCTTATATAATTATGTTAAATCATGTTTACTTTATTTTGTGAATTTTTCTTGCCAACGCCGTTTCGAAGAGCTAGAAAAGAAAAATAAAACAGATACTGCCAAACTGCTGGAAATATTGAGTTTAAGAATAGAGTCACGAAATTGGAACAGAATCAGACACATAATAATAATAAAAAACATATTGCTAAATTGGATAACGACATCGGGAAAATTAAACAGGTAAGTATACTCGTTCCACAAGAACAATCTTCGGCTAATATCAATGCTTCCTGTGAAATGAACTCTGAGGGTAACTCTAAACAGATAGACTCACAATATGATAATACTTTCACATCTGATATAACTGATAATATTTCAAATTCTGATGAACTTGATAGTGCTTTTTCAGATATAACTAAAAATGTATCTGATAACGCTTCAAATCCCGATGTATGTCAGAAAACAGTGACTCAATGCTCCGCATCAATTTGCATAGAAACTAAGTCTTCAAAAGATAAAAAGATTGATGAATTTCTAGATCAGGTGTATAAAAAAAACATTAGTAATGAAACAAGAGAAAGAAATCGGGAAAAGAAACTTCAGAGTCAAGGATCAGTGCAAAATACTACAAAATAAGGTAAATCCAGTTATCAATCAAGCACAAAATACTGAAATAAAAATTCTATACAATAAAAGAGTAGAGCAAGACTTAAGACATAATTTATCTGTATTCATTAAAGAAAATAATAATAAATTAGTGAAGTATTTGACATACAAATTCTAGAATTCTTATTAGAAGTAATTATAACAGGATCTATCAAAATCACTGCACAAAATATAGCTGATTTATTTATAGGGAATTTAGGCCTAGAATTATATACAAGGGTTCAAAATTTTAAAAATATTATAAATACAGACCCAGAAAATTGCAGTGCCAAAATAGTGAATAATTACTTTTAATACACAAGAAATAAATGTAATATATTACATATTATTTTAATTGTTTATAACATGGTTGGTAACATATGCATTTTCAATAATGAGCAAATTAAAGTATAAAAGTAACGTTTATACAAAATTTTCAACTTATAAATTATTGTCGTAGCTGAAGCTGGAAATGGCTAATGCTGGAAATTTCAATTATTTTAATATGAAATTTACAAAAAATTTTTGGGCCTTTTGTTAGGGTTTTTTTTTTAGGGTTAGGTTAGGGTTTAGTAGTAATTTTAATAATAAAAGAGTATAAGTGGATTTTGGTAGGGTTTTTATTTTTAAATTAAGGTTCCTAATTTCCAGCTTCAGCTATTTCTAGCTTTAGCCGCAACAATTATTGTTTTCATGTTTGAAATACCTTAGCTGTTAGTTTTGAGTAGGAGTTAGAGCCATTTAACTATTTAAAAATTGTTCTATAGTTCTGAGCAGAATTATATTGGTCGTTGGCCAGAATTATTTTAATGCCGGCCAAACTATAGATGCTGGTAAAATATAGTGAAATATGGTAAAATAATTTTACCACTATTGGTAAAATTGGTGGTAAATTGGTGAAATTGGTGAAATTAGTTTTACCAGCATCTATAGGCCAAACTAAATGTTAAATGATTAAATGATTAAGAAAAATTTTAGGTGGTTCCAATTTCTAGTTTTGAGCTTTATGGTGAAGAAAATTTAACTGAATAATTATCTAAAGCTAAATGAACATTTTTCATTTTGGTAAATATTATCACAATTTGTATTGTGTTTGACATAATTAAATACAATGTTATAAGAAAAGAATTTACAGAATAAATAACAAGTTGAAACAAGAATGAGTTTTTTTGAAATTTTGATAAACCCAAAATAATGCTTATATTTTGAATATTAATTTATATTATCTGTATTGATGATGATAATATTTCTTTTGTGCTTAAAATCCAAATTGTCATAAATATGTTACAAGACTGAGTTTTGAATCATAGCTTGAATTACAAATTGTATACAATTTAACTATACAAGATTATTTTGGGCTCATATTTGTAATATTTTTAAAACCTTGGGCCTCTATATATAATTATTTTGATTCTAGATTTTTGTTTATAATTAATTTTATTTTTGGGCCCTTATATGTAAATTCTCTTTATTTATTGTAGCAATAAAAGTTAGACAAAAGAAATTTTATACTAGTATTATTATTATAAAATATATAAAGATTGAATTGAAAACATTAAATATATAAACAGTGTTCCAAATTAAGCCGGCTCAATTAGGCTTACTCAATATTCCCATTGGCTCATTAAGGCTTATTTAGTTTTTATACTATATAATATAT